GCTATGGAAATACTACATGTTGATTTGATATATGTCAAATAGTTAAGGATTTCTGCATTGTTGTTCATTGTCTCTAAAAATTGTGTGCAGAAATCGAGTCGATTGACTTTACCAATGGGATTTAGCCTCTGGACTGTCTGTATCTTGTACAGATGGAGTTTTAAATCCAGATGTAAAATTGTTTGCAAACTTCGGTCTGAAATGTGTAGAGCAATCGAGTGCCGAACTACAGAACGTCGTGGACTGCGCTCAAACGCTTCTCTGACTCTCCCAATATTTTCTTGTGTACGAGTTCCACCGGCGAATTTAAATTTTACACTACTTTTTTCGTTAAAATCTCTTACCCATCTCAAAATGGCATTTCTTGATGGGACTTCCGAGCGCACTGGCAAATTATATTTACGACGAAAGCGTCTCTGCGTTTGTACGAAGGACTGGGTCAGGATACACGAATTTACAGCAGATCCCTTGATTAATCAGCCAGTTTGCCATTGCACACGAAACCTTAGAAAATAAGGTATAAGTCTGTCACTATTTGACATATACCAAATCAATAGTATTTCCATAGCAGCCTTTTCAAAACCGTTCAATTCTGATGCCGGGCCCTGTAGTTACGTTAGTGTATGTATTTTATCAAAGGGATAATGGTGAATTATTGTGTTTTTAATTGTAAATAAAATTAAAGAACTAAATCGATGCATTTTCATGTTTTGCCGAAGGATTCAATTCGGTAAGTACATTTGTTGGTGCAGAATTAACTAATGATAACTTTACCTAATATAATTTATATTTAAGTTTGAACATTTAAAAAAATTAGTAAAAAATAATTTTTGCACAAACATAACCTTAAAATCAATCATTTTTATATTTGACTTCTCTAAGAAACGCCGACAACTGCATTTTAAACAACAAAATATTCCTACGAATTCATGGCAACATAATATTATATAATGGTATTTTACCGTTGAGTGGAGATTTTAAAGAATTCTTAATCAACGCTTTTAATAATGCTAAATGCTGTTTAAATTTAGACGACTTATTTGTTTGACGATTTTTACTGAATTGAAATGTTTACACTTTTTACGTTAATCACTACTAAAATGTGTATTTATTCATTCAGATTAACACTGTTTATCGGAAAACCGGTAAAAACTCAACCCAGGATTTCCTTTCTAAATACACCCAACAACACAACAAATCGATCCACGGTTTTTTTCGATATTTTTATAACTTTTTCCGGCTTTATTCTCAAAAACACTCGTTTGTAACCTAAGCGTTTGACAGCTGATTATTAAAAGTTCTACTTTTGTTACGATGATAACAGCCGAGTGGTGGCGCTACTAGCGATACTTCTTTAGCGTATAAGCTATAAAAGTTTTATTTATAATAATAATATAAAAAAAAACAAGTAAGTACAGTTAATTTTTTTATCTACTCCTACATTGACGAGCTGTGACTTTATGACGTTTTATTGACGGGCTGAAGTTAACAACAGTGGCTTTTCGACATTTTACGTCACGGGCTGAAGTTGGCTTTATTTTAAATTGGGAAAAAGTGAGGTTAAATTCGGGTGACAGTTGACAGATGTCAAAATTTTAACAAATAAAATTGGCTTTAAATTCTGTTTTGTGTTCGTCGTAGATAAAGTATAGTATGCAACTCGTTTATAAACTTCTCTAGACACTCGTTTTTATTAAACACTCGCTCGCAAGCTTCGCTCGTGCTTGATTAAACTCGTAACTAAAATGGCGTTTATAAAACTTGATACATAATATACTATTTTGTTTGGCCCTTATTTTAATAAGCTGGTTTGATTTAGTATTTTTAGTACCTATTTAAAAATGGTACTTCTGCTGAAGATCTTAATTAAATACTCTGACACTCAGGGCCGGCGACAATAGCGGTGCTCGCGGGCTCAAGCACCACACGTAAAGGAAAATGGTGGTGCTCAGCACCACACGTATCTTCAGCAGAAAAATTGCATTTCTTTTGCGGTCTCTAAATTTTTTATCCTGCTAGCCTGGGATACACACCAAAGCCCTCTACAAATTTACGGTTGAAGCTGAGGAATCCAAAGTATCAAAGTCGGTCGGTATGTATAAGCAGTGGCGGCTGGTTCTAAAGGGCACAAGGGCACGTGCCCACCCAACCGCCCAGATAAAATGTAATAAAAGTTATTTGTTGCATTGTGCAATATTTTAGTTTTACGTAACACCATTGTAATTACTATTTAAGGATGGTCTCACACCTTCCTTTCGTCAGCTCAAACGGTTGGATTTAAACCTTCTTTACGCAACGCTGCAGCGAGCAAAACGCTGTGCCGGCCAGATTGCGAATCTGGCAACACTGCGCCGGGGCACAATTTTAAATGTTCCCATTCCAAGCATTATTCGGTGATCTTCGGTTATCCTCGCAGTACGCGAATATATCGTCAATTTGGGGCACCGAGGCTCGGTGCCCGAGCGCCTCGTCTCTTGTAGCCAGTTTGTAGAGAGTTTTTGTCGGTTGGTTTGATTTATAACTTTTTTGTCGCCGTGCGCTGTTGTGTTTTTTTGAGTTGTGAATTACGTGTTTTGTTTTTTAAATAAACTTTATTTTTTATTAAAAATAATGGAACCAGCGGAAGTAAATTGTGTGCAGAAATCTTTTAAAAAGCCCGATGTCACATAAAGATAAACTTTTAAGGAAAAAGGAAGACCTATTCCCGATCTTCGAATAAACTACACAACATGGGTTAGATGATTTAAAACACAAAAATTAGTAGGTAAGTTTTTTGTGCCCACCCTCTTTCAAAACCTACGAGCCGCCACTGTGTATAAGTGTATGTATCTTGGTAGTAGGAATAACATACACAACACGTCACGAAATGTATTTAGGGTATTTCTACTATACCGATAAATTTAATCATTCCGGGGATATATAAACTTTCTCTGTATATAAAATGTGACTGAGTTTGATAAATAAATTGACTAAAAAACTATTCCAATTTTATTTTGTTCTCCTTTCCGCAACCCCCAAGGAAAGAAATACCCACACCACTGCTACCAACCATGGTTGCAACTGTAGATGAGCACCACACGTCAAAATGAAAAGATGCCGGCCCTGCTGACACTGTCAAATTGACAGTAATATTTATTATTGATAATTTACTTGTTAAAAAAGTTTCTAAAACTATCATAGTGTAATTATTATAATATATCTATATATTATTATATAATATCGATATAAAAAGATAGCTATGCCAAAAATAATATCAGATTCTAAAGTAAAAATACTTTTAAGAGCAAAACTTCATTTCGATGAAGTTATGCCAAATGCCTCAATGGCTAAAAAAGTACATCGCTTTATGGACATTTTTGGAGTAAAAATGTAATGTTTTTGGTTTTACAAATATTAAATCACACATTATTTTCAGCCAGAGTAGATCAAAAATGTTTAAAATTTTAAAAAATAAGGGGGAAATAATGATTGGACAACATTCACGTGCGTTCTCATAAAATTTTAATTTCTTTTATATAAATTCTTTTCAAAGCTAAGATTATTATCCGCTAGGAATACTTTGTCTCTCCTGGGCCGTAGTCACCTATATTTAACTAATTTTTTATATGATTTTACTCATCTACGCACCACCAAACCCAAATTAATTGCATTTTTAACTACGAATTTTGACAACTTAACTTGACTAAACTTGATAACCTTTCAATGTAACCTACAATAATTTAAACATAACCAAAATTACATTATAATTACATTTATAATATGTATGGGTGCACGTCATCAACGGCATATGACGTCAGCGTTAAGGTCTATTCATACGTGCCCAGACACAATTTAACGCTCGTGTATTGTTGACTGTTTATAGCGGTGGGGGCTGTTATTATAACAAGGACGTTATAATTCCATCTTATTAGGAGTTTGTTACAGGCAAATTTTTATTAAATGTGTTTAAAGAGAAAACAAACGGAGTTTATTACATTTTTATTACATATGCACATAACAAAAAAATACTAAATTATCAGAAACACAAAAATAATAAATTACCAGTCGTCCTTGTCATCAGAGCAAACCAGGTCAGAATTGAAGTCTGATTATTTCCCCAAATTTATTATTAAGGGCGCAATCTCTTCGAAATCTAATAACGGCTAGTTGCCAACAAGCCTTATATCATTGTTTGCACAATCCAGGGATAGAATCTTATAAACATAATGTATAATATTATTTATAATAATTTGCAACAAACGATGCTTCCGGACGAAATGTCACAATTACAAAAATACGTCAAATATAAAATGACAGCGACCCATCAATAATATTGAACGGTGCGCGCCAGCCTTAAGCTATTACCAACTGGCACACACAAAAATTACTAAGTGAATGGTTTTATTTTGATAAGTTCGTGAAAAAACGTTATAAAACAAGGAAATTGTTACAGTTCTTGATAAACAATACGCAAATGAATGATTTCTTTTTAATAACACATCAGAATTACGCCTTAAAAAAGCAAATTTAACGGCAGTAACTTTACAATTCAAAGTTGGTAATGCTGACGTCATTATATCTCATTGATGACGTGCACCCATATAGATTTGGCCGTGACTATATAACTATAGTTTAGTTTGTTTTAATCAATGCAACCAATTTTGGTTCCGTATTTACCAACCAAAACCCTAAATTTGCAACGTTGCCGCAGTTCATATAAAAAAATTGGTTTTGTTGTCCCCACTATTGCAAGATTGGCAATTGTTGTTGCTGGTTTTATTGTAACCAGATTGGCAATTGTTGCTGGTTCATTTGTTGCCATATTGTAAATTGTTGTTGGTTTCCTTGTTGTCACATTGGTAGTTGTTCTTATTGGCCCTTTTGCTTTTTATCCCAGACATTGGGTTTGAAATATTAAGTCGCCAAAAATATTTGTTTATATTAAAAATAAAATGCATCCTTGTTTAATTACATAAATGGCTTAAATAGGTATATCTTCTTAAAAAATCGAAATAAAATTACTATTTAAATTATTGTTTATTTTTATTAGGTAGGTATACAATTATAATTTAAAATAAAAAAAAACGATTAAATAGTGCTAGACAAGTTGTATTCATAGTATCATAACATTAAAATTAGTATGTCAGTTGGTTTTGTTGCCAGATTGGTAATTGTTGTTGGTTCCATTGTTGCCAGATTGGCAATTGTTGATGGTTCAATTGTTGCCATATTGGCAATTGTTCTTGTTGGCCCCATTTTTGTTGTTTCCATTGTTGCCAGATCGGCAATTGTTGCTGATTTAATTGTTGCCACATTGGCAATTGTTGGTTCCATTGTTGCCAGATTGGCAATTGTTGCTGGTTCCATTGTTGCCACATTGGCAATTGTTGTTGGTTCCTTTGTTGCCAGATTGGCAATTGTTGCTGGTTCCAGTGTTGCCACCTTGGCAATTGTTCTTGTTGACCCAATGTTTGTTGTTTCCATTGTTGCCAGATTGGCAGTTGTTCTTGTTGGTCCTTTTGCTTTTTATCCCAGGCATTTTGGTTGTTGACTGAGCTTTTGGCTTGGCTACAGACCAAAATGGCGGCAAGAACTACGAGGAACTTCATGATTGAGGTTTGGTATTTAGAGAGAAAAAACTAAAGTGATTTAGGTACCTAACTTTTGCAATGTTTATATACGAAAAAAATTATCGTTTAGGTGAGAATTTTTCATGATTATGTGGTGTGATGTTTTGTTTTTTGAAAATTATTTTGTGTGATGCAATTTATTTCAAACATTGCTGTGCAAAAATAATATTTTAAACAATTTTTATTACATAAATTTAAAATATACTTGAGCAAATTTTTATTTTTATTTTAATTAAAAATATAATTTTTTAGATTTAGACTTATATTCAGGTTTTAGATTTAGGTTTTAGATTTAGATTCAGGTTTAAAAGCTAATTATCTTCAAGCGTTCTATAATTTAAACTTTATTGTTATCAATAATCGTTACTAAAGGATTTTTTATGGCCTATAGGCACTTAAAAACTATTAAGATCAATCTGGTTAGGTTATGTATGGCCTAGACCGTAAAAAAATCATTATTTACTACTTTGTACCAATAAAAAAATCGGCTTCTCCCAATTATTTTACATAATTTTAAATTATTCAGGTACAAAATTCAATACATTTTTTGATTTTTTGATTTTTGGTTATTAAAATTATAGTAGTTTTCCTTTTTATATTTTAAAACTGTTTATTTATATAGAAAACGTTTTAAAAATAAAAAGTTAAAATTTGGTCATAATTATTAATAATAAAGTCAAGTTTTCTATCAGAAAATACATTTAACTGTGTTAACTTCAGCTGCCTTTTTAAATTTGGTACATAGCAACTATTTAGTCATGTCACACCGTCGTTTGAGCTTGCGTGCTGAGGCACTGTCTGTGTTTTTTTATGAATTGATAGGGGCTTATTTAAAAAGCATAAAACAAAATTTGCGCCACCTGACAATTTTTTTTACAAAGATGTAAGCAAAAATACATTTTTTTGGTTTATAGTGAATGTCTTTTTCAGTTTTTAGTGACTATTTCCCTCGTCTTAATTTCCACCAATCACAAACGCGCAATTTTGAATTACAAATGGTTTCTAGGTGAAAAAACTGTGTGACAGCACCTGTCAGCAGTTTATTCGAGTTTACCCGCGGCAAAACTTGACAGCTGTTGTCACCAAAAATTGCAATTTATATTTTAATTGTTAAGTGTTACTCATGAAATAGTCTTGTCAAATACCATTCGGGCAAATAATTTTTCCTGTGAAAAAAATCGAAAAAACACAATGCTAAGTAATATTTTTTAACAAAATGCATTCGTGCAGGTGCAAAAATCCTCCTCTTTGACTCGGATTTTTGTTGCCACCAGCACTCATGCTTTTTGTTAAAATATTACTTAGCAACGTGTTTTTTCGATTCTTTTCGGAAAAATTAAATGCCCTTATGATATTACTTACGACTATTTCCCTCGTCTTAATTTCCACCAATCACAAAGGCGCAATTTTGAATTACAAATGGTTTCTAGGTGAAAAAACTGTGTGACAGCACCTGTCAGCAGTTTATTCGAGTTTACCCGCGGCAAAACTTGACAGCTGTTGTCACCAAAAATTGCAATTTATATTTTAATTGTTAACTGTTACTCATGAAATAGTCTTGTCAAATACCATTCGGGCATCTAATTTTTCCTGTGAAAAAAATCGAAAAAACACAATGCTAAGTAATATTTTTTAACAAAATGCATTCGGGCAGGTGCAAAAATCCTCCTCTTCGACTCGGATTTTTGTTGCCACCAGCACTCATGCTTTTTGTTAAAATATTACTTAGCAACGTGTTTTTTCGATTCTTTTCGGAAAAATTAAATGCCCTTATGATATTACTTACGAATATCTCCCCGTATTCTGCACAATAAAAAGTAAAAAGTCAAATTATTTTTTATAAAATTTCCTATAGTTTTTGTATAAAGTGTTTTTTGTTTATAGAAATAAGTAAAAAATATAGTTTGTTAAATTAAAAGTTTTGTTTTTTATCACTTTTTTTTAAATATTTGGCAAACTGTAAAATATACGGTAAATTATTATGATAAACATTTTGTAGCCCTATTAATTTTCTAAAATATAAAAAGTAGAGCATTTGAACATTTTTTCTCTGGTTAGCAAACTACAAAACATTTTAAACCGTCCCTTTTCACCATTCGTGCACGAGAACAGCTTTAGCCAGAAATTATTAGGGCAATGAAAACGTTTTTCCCATTAGGGTTGTAACCTCTTGAAACCCTTTTTTTTAAATCAAAGAAACAAGGCTACAACAAAATAGCGTCAAGAGGGTAAAACATTTTCATTACGTTTTGTGAAGAAGAAAGTAACAAAGAATATCTAGATTATTTTTGATTTGAAGCTGTTTTTCTGAGCGAATCGTGAAAATCTAATCCGATGTCTCTTTACCACCTACAGAATCGGCGGCTGAACATTATTATGGTTGGCGAATGTTTTAGATCCAAAATAGGAGTCAGGAGAAACGAAACCATCATCACTTGTCGACATCATTTCGTGCAGGTGTAGGAATCAATGCGGGGCAACGTGGCCAGGCCAGGTTAAAATAATTGCAAGTTTTTTTGCAGGAACTTATGTTTTACCTTTAGATAGATTGCCATTGACTTTGACAAAGAGATAAGTTTGATCTACCAACCATGGTTTCTCTGATAAGATACAGCAAAAGGGCCAGACCTACCACACGACACTTCCACTAAAAAAATCACATTCAAACGATCATAAACAAAAAATAAATATATTTTAACGTGGACAAGACCCACATAATTATTATTATTATATTATAATATGGAAATACCGCAATAAAAAACGAGCCTGAGACTCTACCTCCAAAGTAGTGAGAAGAAGCGTTTTTATGGGTATACGAGCGCGGTCATGTTCACTCGAGGGTTGGTCTCCTCCCGTTACTCGCACCGAGCTCTATTTTTTTTTTTTAATATTTTAGAATAATAAAAGAGGTACAGTATGTTAATCATTATAATTTATCATAAAATATACCGTTTGCAAATTATTGCAAAAAAGTAAAAAAAACAACACATAAAAACAAATTTTTCATTTTAATTGACTATATTTTTTTACTCATTTGTTAAAACAAAAATTACCTTGGACAAAAATTATAGTAAATTTTATAAAAAATAATGATTTTTTATCGATTCAAAAAAAAACAAACAGTGCCTCGGCAAACAAGGTCAGGCCATTTTTCACCACGGTTTGACTGGACTAATTTTTTAATATACATATTAAAACATACGGTTTTTTAAATATTTTGAGATATAACCAAAGGTGTTTAAAAGTATCGTCTACTATCTAGAAAACATTAATTTTCTATTAACGATTTCAATGATTTAAATTTTTTTTGTATATTATATTTTTGAAAATTAAAAAAAGGAAAATATACTTAGATACTTTTTTAACCATTTTAAAGCACAATTTTACAAATAAGTGGATAGGTAAGTTTGCAAAACAAATTATAAATTAAAATATCTTGTATAAAACTAAAAATGTTCTTTTAATATAGAGTTCCATAACAATGGAACAAACAAGAACGTATGCCAATCTGACAACAATGTGCACATGTGGCAACAAAACTAAACTGCATATTGTTTTAAAATTTTATTTTTTTTTTGTTTTATGTTAATTAAAAATTGAACTAACGCAATAATATTTTGGTTTTATTGTTTATCTGCAATTTTTATATTTAAATTTCACAAGAAATTTAAATTACAAAATTTACAAACAACAATTATTTTTATATTTAATTATGAACAAATATTTTTTCCGATAAAAAAATTTTAATTATTGGTTTACATACAATATTATTAATATGTTTAAGATAAATTAAGTTTTAATTACATAACGCAAGATAAATAAAGAATGCATAAAGAATAGAAATTTTCTAAAAAGCCTGAGATTGAACATTTGTGCACCGTTGCACTATGTCGTAAACAGAGTGATTAGGTGACCAAAAATATTTTTGTTGAAAAACATATTGAAAATGCTTTTTTGTTATACAAAAAGATAATTTTTAATAAATTGAACCATTAGTTAGGATTAAAAGAAGCTAAGTACAGGGTGAACCACGTAAGATAACCCATATGCCTATCTCAGAAACAACTGTAGTCATGAAAAATTTGTAGGGAACAAAAATATTTGAATTAATACATATTTTTTAATGTTGTAATTTAATTTATACAGGGTGCTAAATTTTTTCTGTTTTTTCGATTTTTACAACTTTTTATTCTACGTACTTTTTTATGTTTTAATGGCCTTTTGCAGAGCTAAAAGGGATTCCGCACTTGTACTCTTATCCTGTTAAAGTTTTCTGTTTAGATACCTCATCTGCCATTCATTTTTCTCAAATCCGTTAGATTGCTAAATTTGGGTATTTGAAATGGATGTTGTTAGCAAGAAAGTTAAGAAGTTATTTTTATAGCCAATTGGCCATAAAAATTAGTTTTAAATTAATATATATTTATTATTTTTATGTTTTTAATTAATTTTAAGGCGCCAGATTTAAAAAAAACTCGGAAAATAAAGACAAAAGTTTAAAAAAATGAGCTCTAATACACATTTTTTGACATAAAATCAAGTGTAGCCAAGTTTCTCAACATTTCCCGTCAAAATCCTTAATAACGACCATTATTCATATATTAACAAACACTTCCACACACAAAAGAAATTGGGGCAACCTGGGGCACCATTACTATTTGCAAAAAGTTTGCTTGAATGCACGTTAAAAAATTGACAAAATTTGAACGGCTATTACTATATATAAAATAAAATATTTTTTTAATTTTTAACGTTATACCTTACATTTATTTTAAAGCAATCTACCAAATATAACTCCTGTTAATTATAATT